AGCATACTGCAAAAGCAACCAAAGAGTTTTTTTAAGGGAAAGAAGTGGAATGTTATGCAATGGTCAAGTCAATCACCTGACCTGAATCCGATTGAGCATGCATTTCACTTGCTGAAGACAAAACTGAAGGGAAAATGCCCCAAGAATAAGCAGGAACTGAAGACAGTTGCAGTAGAGGCCTGGCAGAGCATCACCAGGGATGAAACCCAGCGTCTGGTGATGTCTATGTGTTCCAGACTTCAGGCTGTAATTGACTGCAAAGGATTTGCAACCAAGTATTAAAAAGTATTAAAAGTTTTATATCTGATTATTATTCTGTCCCATTACTTTTGGTCCCTTAAGAAGTGGGAGGCACATATGCAAACTGTTGGAATTCCTACACCGTTCACCTGATTTGGATGTTAATACCCTCAAATTAAACCTGACAGTCTGCAGTTAAAGCACATCTTGTTTGTTTTCATTTCAAATCCATTGTGGTGGTGTATAGAGCCAAAAATGTTTAGAATTGTGTCGATGTCCCAATATCTATGGACCTGACTGTATATGTTCCATGTGGACCCCATGATACCGGGGAAGAGTCTATGCACTCTCCCTACTCGAAAGACTCTCCCCGTTGTTTGGTTCTGGTGGAGACTCTTTTGTCCCTTGACCTTGCATCTAGGTTATTTGTTTACCTTATTGCTTTATGTTGTATATTACCATTTTGCCCATTTAATTTGATGCTGGCCATTCTTCGGCCTCGGCATCTCTTGTTTCTTTTTTTCTTTTCCTTTACTTTCCTAACTTCCTTTACTATTTCTATTTGAGGGTCATCCCGGGACTCCCCTAGAAGATCTCAGATACTTGATATCTTGTGTTGGTGATGTGGGTGAGTTTGTTTATTTATAATTATATTGATTGCGTACCATATCTAACTTAAGACACAACAGTGATGCTGTCCAATCCCATAATGTTCAAGGGCTGGGCTCCCTTTCTAAGCTCCTCCAGGTTTTTTCCCACTATAGGTCCCTGGGAGCTGATATTGTTGCTCTACAAGAAACCCATTTTGACCCTTCTTTTACACTTAGGTATATCCACAGGGATTTTCCTGTATGCTTTTTTCGCTAATGCCTCTGAAAAAGTGAGGGGTAGCACTCTGTCTTTGCAGGAGGCTTTCATTCACCGAAACTAAAGTGATAAGGGACAAGAAGGGTGATTCTTTTTAGTTAAGGGCCATTTAGGGGGAAATCTGGTAACCTTTCTCATTTACTATGCCCCTAATATGAATTAGGTGGCCTTTTTTCAATCCCTATTTAAATCTTTATCTGCTGAACTGGAAGGTGACGTTATTTTGGCGGGGGGATTCAAATCTAGCCTTAGATCATACGTTTGATAAATCTCATGCAGTTAAACTTAAATCCCCTTCAAACAAAGTCTCAACTTTGCACAACTTTTGTATCGCTACAATTTAGTCGATGCTTGGAGAGAAGGTAATCCCACCTCTAGAGATTATTCCAATTTTTCTAGAGCTCATAATCATTATTCTCGTATAGACCCACATTTTTCCTCCCCTCAAAAATGCTATCTAAATTATGCTCAGCCAAAATTGTATCAACACCCTGGTCAGACCACGACCCTGTGATGCTGATGCTTTCCCATTTGACAGCCAAACTGGCCAAGCCACACTGACGATTAAATGAGTCACTTCTTAGTATCGAGTCCTATTGTTTGGATGTAGTGGAACACTTGAAGTATTACTTTACAATTAATAAAACAAAAAACACGACCCCTGCTATTAATTGGGCAGCTCATAAGGCCCCTGTTAGAGGCCTCTTTATCCAATTGTCCTCCAGACTTAAAAGATCTCGTGAAGAGTTGATCTAAAGAATATGAGGCCTTAGTTGCCCAGCATAAATCTGCCCGGAATTCTGACCTGTTACGTAAGGTAGAGCAAGTTCGTCTAGAACTTAACTTCTGTCTCACCAAGAAAGCAAAAAAGCAACTGTGTTGGATGAACCATACATTTTTCATGTGGCAAGACAAACCAGGCTTCCTTTTAGCGTGTAAACTTACCCCTAAACATATTCACTCTGTGCTTCACAAACTCAGGCTTTCGGGGGGTCATATTTCACAGGATCCTCAGAAGATCCTTCAGGAATTTCACTTCTATGCTACTCTATATTGTCAACCTCAGCCTGTTGAGCCTTCTTTATTCAAAACTTTCTGGGGACTTGGTCTCTTCCATCCCTCACCAAGGCCCATAGAGAGCTCATGTAACAACCTATTACTAGCGAAGAGCTTAGCAAAGTCATTACAATGCTATCGTCGCATAAATCCCCGGGCCCCAGCAGTCTCTCGAATAAATATTATAAAACCTTTTCCAAACACCTTCTCCCTCATATGTCTATTTTTTTCAATCCTTTAAGAGATGAGGGTGTGGTTCCTTTAGATGAGAACAAAGCATATATTTGTGTCATTCCCAAACCTAACAAAGACTCTACTGATGTCCTCAATTATTGCCCCATTTAGTTAATTAATTGTTATTTTAAAATTCTAACGAAACTATTAGCTTTGCATCTTAATTCCTTCTTAGTGCAGGACCAGTTGGGCTTCATATCTGGTCACCAAACATTGGAAGATTTGCAGGTTTATCACTCTATCAGCTGTCTGCTCTAAATGGGATGCTCCCCTCTCAAGGGAACATGTGCTTCTTTTTTGAATCTCCATAAGACTTTTGATAGTTTAACTTGGGAATATTTGTTCACTACCTCACAAGCATTTGCATTTGGTCCTATGTTTCTTTCTTTTTTGCACACGCTATATAATACTCCCTCGGCTCAAGTTTCCATTAGAGGCTACAGATCCTCTGTGTTCCCAATTCGACACGGCACTAGACAGGGTTGTCCACTTTCCCGATTGCTTTTCGCATTGGCGTTCGAACCCTTAGCTATAGCGATCCATTCCCATCCCATGATCCATGGTGTCCATTGTGGACAACAGGAACATAAATCTGCCCTATTTGCTGACGATGTTCTTATGTATATTACCTCCGCTTTGATCACCTTACCTAATCTACTGTTTCTTTTGTGCGAGTTCTCTGACCTTTCCTTAAACTCTCAAAAAATGACAGCCCTTAAAGTGAAGTTCCACCCAAAAGGGGAAGTTCTGCTTTAATGCTTTGTCCCCCGCTCCCCATTAAGGATTGGCACCTTTGGGGTGCGGGTACCCAAATTTGACAGGTACCCGCGCCCACTTCCGCTACAATCACCTAGGCGATCGGAAGCGGACGTTGTCCTCCCTCCCCGTAGTCTTCTGGGACACATGACAGGTATCTGAAGACTATGTGGCCATTCACAAAGTGCAGCGATTCTCGTGCATGAGCAGTGAGCACCTGGCTGTGAAGCCGCAAGATGTCACAGCCGGGTGCCCACACTAAAGATGCCGGCGCCAGGGAAAGAAGATGGTGAAACCAGCGGTGGTGAGGATGCCGCTGGACCGAGGGACAGGTAACTGGCTGTATTTTTGAAAGTCAGCAGCTACAGTTTTTGTACCTGCTGACTTTTTTTTTTTTCTTTTCAGCTGGAACTCCGCTTTAATATTTCCTTACCCTCTTCTGTAGAAACAGCAGCTCAGAACTACTTATAACTTTCAATGGCCACGCAACTCTTTGCCTTATTTACAGATCCAATTAATTGCCTATTTTGAGACCCTCTATCAAGCTAACTACCCCCCCCCTTTTTTTTTAAAAAACTTAGAGATGATCTTCACCATTGGGCTGACTACTCCTTATCCTGGTTTGGCAGAGTCAACTTGATTAAAATAAAATTTTTACCCCGAGTGCTATATTATTTCAGAACCTTACCGATACCAGTTTCCGAGATGGGAGTTGCAGCATTTACAAGCTGAGGTTCTCCACTTTGTTTGGGACAATAGAAGATCTCGGATGAACCATATGACATTATATGCCTCCAAACCACGAGATGGGATTGGCCTTCCTATTCTTCAAGCATATTTCCAAGCTACTCAAATTGCCCAATTGGCCTACACCACTGCTAAGGGACCTACTGGGTATTAATTGAAGCTCTCTCCTGCCACCCCATAGCAGTTGGCTCTTTACTTTGTTTTCCTAATTGATCACGCCCCCTATACTATGCACCACTCTGTCATATTCTTTGACAGTCTGGGACAGAGTGCACCATCGCAAATCACTAGCATCTTCACACACGCCCTTGGCTCCTGTTTTTTTGTAACCCTGAATTTGTACCTGGTTTAGTACCTGCTCCATTTCAATGGTGGATCAATAAAGGACTGCTGCGGATAGGAGACTATCTTAAGGGTGACTGAGTGCAGCACTTTAAAGATAAGTTGCACATACCCTGTACCGAAATCAGATCATCTGTTTTATCCACTCGAACCTTACTTTATTGGATGAGCCACCCATACTTACCAATTTTGAACTTTCCTGCCAGAATAGGGATTTCCTCAGAAGCCATATCTCTATATAGTATATGCTCTACTCACTGATCCAAATTGTAAGCTTCCCTATATGGATCAATGGGAACGGGACCTGAATATCACTTATGACCTGTTTGACTGGCAAGTTATTGCCTTTGCATTATCTAAAGTATCCATCAACACTACTCTAATTGAAGCGAATTATAAAACATTATTAAGATGGTACTTGGTCCTTACTTGGACGTGGAGGATGCATTCATCTACCTCAACGAAGTACTTCCGGCGTTGCAGCCAGATGGGTACTATGTATCACATCTGGTGGCAATGCCTGATAGCGACCAGATTTTGGATCCGCGTGTTTAATTTTATCTATTCGGTGATGGAGGTGAATATTCGCAGATCCCTGCAGACGGCCATCTTTCATAAATTCCCAGATGACGTTCCCAGAAAGTCCCTTAAACTGATCACCTACCGTATTCTTCGCTCCATAAGAAGCACCTGACCATTACACACACCTAGATTTTAGAGAAGGAAAACAAAAAAAAAAAATATTCTGAACCAATGGACTGCAGACATAGTACAGAAGATGACCAGAGACTGCAGACATAGTACAGAAGATGACCAGAGACTGCAGACATAGTACAGGAGATGACCAGAGACTGCGGACATAGTACAGGAGACGACCAGAGACTGTGGACATAGTACAGGAGACGACCAGAGACTGTGGACATAGTACAGGAGATGGCCAGAGACTGCGGACATAGTACAAGAGATGACCAGAGACTGTGGACATAGTACAGGAGATGACCAGAGACTGTGGACATGATACAGGAGATGACCAGAGACTGCAGACATAGTACAGGAGATGACCAGAGACTGGGGACATAGTACAGGAGATGACCAGAGACTGCGGACATAGCACACAAGGTGACCAGAGACTGCGGACATAGTACAGGAGAAGACCAGAGACTGTGGACGTAGTACAGGAAATGACCAGAGACTGCAGATCTTGGGAGAGTGGGGGGGGGAGAGTACCCAAATATGACAGGTACCCGCTCCCACATCCGCGGAGTTGTCCTCCCCGTAGTCTTATGGGACACGTGACAGGTCCCAGAAGACTACAGGTGGCCATTCACAAAACGCAGTGCTTCTCGCGCATGCACAGTGGGTACCTGGCTGTGAAGCCACAAGCTGTCACAGACGAGTGCCTACACTAAAGATGCCGGCGCTGGGCAGAGAAGACAGGCGGTGAAAGCAGGACACCGGTGGACCAAGGAACAGGTAGGACCGAGGAGCAGGTTCTTCTGCACAGTAGAACCGAGCGGCTGGCCCGGTTTTCTAACACAGTGGCGGCGGGAATACCGGTCCGGCCGCTCCATATTCGCTCCATAAGACGCACAGACATTTTCCCCCATTTTTCCCAATCACTATAGCTAGACACTGGAAGCAATCGGTCATCCCGCTTGACTATGTTAAGAATAAACTGAATTGGATTATGATTAATGACAGATCACCTGTATTCTACACAACAATACTAGAAAATTTGAGAAAACATGGGACTCGAGGATTCAAAATATTTCCACTCCCTAATGTGTTTCAACTTGACCCTCTCTCTTTTTCTACTCCTTTTTCTTTATTCTTTATCACTCCTTTTTTTTCTGTCCTCTGAGGTTGGTTATGCCTAATTCCTATGTGTTCTACAACATTTGTCATGTCTCAAATGACACTGACTCTGCATGTAATCTCAGGTCCATGAACAGTGGTTCTTCCCCTTCCACTACGTCTCCTAACCCCTCCCTGTTTCCTTTCCGGATTCCCTTCTTCCTCTCTTCCCCATCACTATGTCCGTCCCCTATATATGGGTTATCCAATACTTACTCTACAGAGTCCCTGGTCTCCTGTTGCTTGTCTTATGTCTGATAAACCATGTTCTTTTGTGTTGAGTCGAAATCTACTTTTTGTGACATGACTATTGTTTACTTGTGCTATCTGTTATTTTTAAAAATTGTTAACAAAACATTGGAATATAAACTAAAAACAAAATATATTTTATTGCAGCTGACCAATTCTTAGATATGGTGGCTGCATCCATTTTTTTTAAGTTTTATTTCCTTTATTTTCACCTGGTGATCCAGGTATTTATCACTGACAGGGTTGCTTACAATAATCAGCTTTTATTCATTTATGTAAACGTTTTATAGCAAAATTAAAAAAAACTGTTGCTGTAACTGCTTAAAAAGTGTTTGGATTTAAAGTAAAACTAAAGGCAAAACTTTGTTTGTATTGTTTTGGATAGAGTGGAGAGGGATTATAATGCTTGTCTGTTCTTATTGCTGTCTGTAGCCCCCATTAGGGAGAATTGCCGTCTCTATTTGTCCTGTTTACTATTGTCATTGAAAGTGAAAGTAAAAGAAAATCCTATGTTTTCCATTGTCCCCAGAACAGTAATAGAGGAGAAATCTTCCAATGAGGACACTAGTTCCGGTACCTGGGCGTCCCCAAGGAATTCCCTTAATTTGCATGGTTTTCCTCTCACTTCCTGTTCGGCTATGGGGCAGGAAGTGAAGGGAAATCTCCGCAATGGGACACAAATGGCAAAAAAAAAAAAAAAAAAAATTCTGACAGGGGCACAGTTTTTATTACCTATTGGGGCCCTTTGACACTATGGGAAATTTTCTGGATAAGATGAACTTAGCACTTAAACCTTGCAGTATGTGTGTGCTGGGGGGGCTCCTCACAGCTGTTTTAACCCCTAAAAGCCTATACCACAACCGCAGGCATTGCATGTAGCTGCTAGGTCATTGTGGCACGGCCACAGCGTGGGGAAGGTACTGGCAATAACCCGCAATTGTCAGGGAACAGTTAGACACTGATGATCAGTGCCCTGATAATCAGTGCCCAGCAGTGCCACCCACCTGTCCCCAACAGTGCCACCCACCTGTCCCCAGCAGTTCCACCCACCTGTGCCCATCAGTGCCACCCATCAGTGCTGGCCAGCAGTGCCGCCAGTCAGTTCCATCAGTCAGTGCTGTCCATTAGTGCCGCCTATCAGTGCCCATCAGTGCCGCCTATCAGTGCCGCCTATCCGTGCCACCTCATCAGTGCTGCCTATTAGTGCAGCCTCATCAATGCACATTAGTGAAGGAGAGAAATGACCTGTTTGCAAACTTTTATAAGAGAGAAAAACTTTTTTTCAAAGTTTTTGCTCTTTTTTTGTTTATAGCGCAAAAAATAAAGCATGATGATGTCAGGAACAGTCCATTCACAAGACTGCTGGTGTGCAGGGGGGACAGGAGCGGCTGGGACTGGTCTTGCGCTCCTAGGATCAGTGGATTAAATGTGGATATTGTAATTTCCCAGTGATTTGCACAGGATTTAGGATCGTATTAATATTTACATGTTACATCAACGCCTGCATCTTATATAATGACACAGGTAAGGATTATATACCTATGCTTTTGGTGAGGTGAGGGGGGGGGGTTAGTGAGTTTTTAAGTCCATATTAATAACCAGTGAGTGACAAGTAGAAAACAGGTCCAGCAGCAGAGGGTTAATCCACACCCTAATAATCATATCACATCACCCCGCTAATGCAATGCCTCATAAGTTTTATTTGTAACATACAATCTCACACTTTCAGACCCGATTCACATCAATGCGGTGTGGGAAACACTGCGAATCCTGTGCGTCTCCCGCACCGCATTGCAATATCCTCGCGTTCATGTGATCTGGTGCGGCTGTCAATGATAAATTAATGACACCCTGAAACAGATCGCAAAATGCGATGCGATTGCCAGAAATCACATCACATGGGTAAGAACATCCATGCGATGCAATTCAGGTGCAGATTTAAAAAAAGGGTCCTGCACCTTTTTTGATGCAGATGCGATTTGAGCCGTACAAAATGTATGGCTCACATTGCACCGCACAGACGTTTGCATGTAAATTGCACAGGAATGCTGTGCGATCCCTGTGTGATTTACATGCGATGCCCCAAAATCTATAGCGTGGGCCCCGGCTTACAGTCCTTCCCTCATGATCACTTTATTGACATGATATATTATTATTATTCTAACAGTATTATTATTACAGTAGCATTAACGATACAGCCGCACTTGCACTTCTCTGGAAGCTCCTATGTACAAGCACATGGCTTTGTTTACCTCCCTGGTCAGACGTCTATCTCCAAAACATGCAGCAGCTTTCACAAAACGCGCATGTGCGGAAAACCGAGAGGCGCCCTCAACAAAGATGGCCACTTGCTAAGCGGGTATTGTAAGGTTACCGGAAGTATTGTGAGTGAAGCATGTGTGGGCCCTGCGTTGTCCCAGTGTTCGGTGTATTTCACGTGTAACCGGAAAACGTTTAAATAGAGCAGCTGGATGTCCGAGTAACGAGCAGGAGGAGCTCCGTGCAGCGATGTCCGTACTCCTACGAGGCAGATTTCTCATCCAGGGTAAGGAGGGGGATGTCACCGGAGGGACACGGAGCCCTCCACTGCTGTCCTCTGTGACTGCTGGGCCACAAAGTGCTACTTTTTGTTTGGGTGTGTGACCCCCATATGCAGATTGCAAACGCAGTTCATACGGATTAGTTTCATTATTTCTGCATTTAAAACGCACAAAAAGTAGGTTATATGGGTGTCAATGTCATAGTTCACATCAGTGCTTGCATTACAGTTGCAGAAAAAAAAGTAGAACATGCTGCATTTTTTTTCTGCACAGAACTGTACTGGAATGCAGTAACATGCATCAAAAACGCACTGAACACACATGTTCCTATTTAAATTGAAGAAAAAGAGGAGGAAAAAAATGAGCTATAATGCATAAAAAATGCACTGGAATGTGCCAAAAGTGCATATACAGAAACACATCCGGAATGCATCTGGACTGCGTTTCTCTAGTGTGAACTGGGCCTAAGGTTAGGTTCACACCTATGCAGGTTTCTGCGTTGCATGTTTGATGCGTTTTGCATGTTTTTTTTTTTTTTCTTGTTGCTAGGCAGACTTAAAAATGCAGCAAAAATGCAATACATGCTTTTCTGCAGCGCTTCAATTGAAGTATATAGAAACAAAAACGCAACTTTTTGCGTTCAAAAAAGTCCCTGAGCCTTTCCAAAAAACACACCAGGTAAAAATGCACAGGCGTGAACATGTCCCATAAGAAATCATGTTAAATGGACTGTACTGCATTTCTACAAAACGCTGCAGAAAATGTTTAGGTGTGGACCTGGGGTAAGATCGCATTGTACTTCAGTATCACGTGTGCTTTTTGAAAAGCAGAGCATGCACTACGTCAGGTGCAATCCAGTGCGATTTTAGCCCATTCACATGAATGGACCTGGAAATTGCACCACACTGAGTTGTACAGGTACGTGGAGAGCGTTTGTGCGATTCAGGTGTGAGCGGCCCTTCCTTTATTGTCTCTTCTTCCATGTGAGCTGAGTCCAGAGTTGGCCATTAAGGGCTCGTTCACACCATGGTGCAGAGACATCAGTTTTTCTGCACGCGTTCTACAAGGGCACAATGAAATCATTTCTCTATGTGCCATGTTCACAACACTAGTATCATGCAGATTTTTTTCTGAGCAGGAATCTGCAATGTTTATGAAAACTGATATCTCTGCAAGTGAAATCTGCATGTCAGTTCCCATCAGTTTTTCGGCACACAGTGTGCGCCATTACTAAAACCTTTTCACTCCCCCTTTTTCTTTTCTGCATAGTCAACGAAAGTATACATTTCTCTGCAAGTCTGAACAGGAATGCAGTGTGAGCATTGTCTGAATCACATTCGCTTTCCCCGTGAGTGCAGTGCGATTTGCACTACAAATTGCACCACACCCCTAAGGTAAATCACATGTGATTCGGATAGGAATCATACCGCAACTTCAGCTGAAGTAGCGCTATTTCAGTTCAAATCAAATGCGATTCTTTGCAGTGCGATTTGAGCGCATTCATTTTTTATGGGCTCATATCGCACCGCAAGGTATCGGTTTTACGTATCTGAGCATTTGTACGAGTATGAGTATTGATGCAACTGTAAACTATCTACATCCCTACCGGCAGGGCTCGACAAATCCCAGATACCAGGTCACTATGGCGACTAGAAATTGCATCCTGGCCCTTGGGTGCATACACTGCCTCCCGCTGACGACAAAGCCAAATCGCGTCCCGCTGACGACAAAGCCAAATCGCGTCCCGCTGACGACAAAGCCAAATCGCGTCCCGCTGACGACAAAGCCAAATCGCGCCCCGCAGTCGTCAAAGCCAAATCGCGCCCCGCAGTCGTCAAAGCCAAATCGCGCCCCGCAGTCGTCAAAGCCAAATCGCGCCCCGCAGTCGTCAAAGCCAAATCGCGCCCCGCAGTCGTCAAAGCCAAGACACTCCCGCATTGACTACAGTGCAAAGACACCCTATTGACTTCAATGCAAAATCGCATTCTGTTGACTTCAATGCAAAAACTCCTGTTAGCAATTCTATGTGAACGCTTATCTCCGCATGCCGCTGTACTGTATCACCCTTTGTGAATCTGGAACGCACTGCTACAAACTCACACAGGACCCTTTTTGTAATGGCACCCAAAACACAATGCGTGTGGATCACATCTGTGTGAACCACCTCAACAGCAACACATAATATCTAGCCTGTCATGAGAATCTGTGAGTTTGGAAACGCATCCAGAACCGCACATAGGTGAACCAGGGTGGCTCCACTCACACCTGGGCTTTTGGGATCGTGGCAGAATTGCTGTGATCGCATAATGTATGTTCAGGTGCCATTATTTCCAATGATGCCCAAAATGTGGTGCTTTTTTGCCATGATTGTCTCGAGCAAATCGCATCGCCTGAAGTTTGTCACTCAAACATTGCCTTGCCCCAGGCGCTGACAACCCATGCTACGCAAAAGCAAAAAAACTGGCTCCTAAATTTTTTAGCTGGTTTCTAGATTCAAAGCATATTTGTCAAGCCCTGCCTACTGGGCCAATTCTGACATTTCTCTCCTACATGTAAAAAAATCATATTTTTTTTCCTAGAAAGTTACTTAGAACCCCCAAACATTCTATACAGGGGTGTGGACATTTTTAAAAAAAATGCTTGTCCATGGACTAAATCAGGGTCCCAATCTACTTGTCTTTCATGACAATCTACTTTGTCCTGGTTAAAAAATAATAATTTTGCCCAAAACTGTATTTAACCACTTGTCCTCCAGAGGATTTACCCCCCTTCCTGACCAGGCCATTTTTTGCAGCACGGCACTGTGTGACTTTAACTGACAATTGTGCGGTCATGCAACACTGTACCCAAAAGAAATTTAAGTCCTTTTTTTCCTCATAAATGGAGCTTTCTTTCGGTGGTATTTGATTGCCTCTGCGTTTTTATTTTTTGTGCTATAAACAAAAGACTGCCACATTTGAGAGACAATATTTTTTACTTTTTTGCTATTAAACATATCCAGTAATAAAAATTAAAAAATTACATTTAGTCATAAATTTAGGCCAAAATGTATTCTGCGTCATGTCTTTGCTAAAAAGAAATCCCAATACGTGTAAATGAATTGGTTTACGTGAACATTATAGCGTCTACAAATGGCGGTATAGATACTGGATTTTTTTTAATACTAGTGATGGCGGTGATCAACGACTTGTAGCGGGCCTGCGGCAGGCATTATGACACTGGGAGGGAACTAATTGTCACTGACATCCCCAGTGATACTAATACAATGATCAGTGCTTATAAAAAGAACTGACACTGTACTAGTGACACTGGGCAGGAAGGGGTTAACATCTGGGGGCAATCACAGGGTTAACTGTGTGCTATTTTTACATTATGTGCTTTTTGTGTTTTACTAGGGAAACATGCTGCTGTGTATTTCTGTACTGTGCAGAGAAATACATAGCAGCATGTGCTTGCTGGCTGCAGTTTTACTTGGCGATCGCCGGGTGCTGGAGGGGAATCTCTGGCCAGGACCCAGTGATTGACATGCCTAGCTGCCAATGGCGGCGCAGGTAAGGCTGTGCTTGCGCCCCCTACCCGGAAAAGACGTATATATACGTGGTTTTGTTCCGCCCTGTAGCAGTAGTTCTATAGGCAGCAGGGAAGCGGTTAAATAAAAACGAAAAATTCTAAAGCCTAAAAAGGTTAAAACAACATTTTGTGCAGTGGATGCTCAGCTCTGAAATATCACTGACGATCTAATTATTTATTCTGTTTGTTTCAGCTATCCGTCCAGCCAGTAGTACTGCCAGTGTACATATCTCACCAGCAGATGAGGTGGACACACATGAAAATGAAATTGTAAACCCTGAATTCACCAATCGGAATCCTCGTAACTTGGAACGTCTGTCGCTTGCAGTTAAGGATCGTGGCTGGGGTACAGTGTGGCCAACCAGGGCATACTGGCATAGGTAACAATTTCAGGCGTAACCAAATATTCTTCTTTTAATATTCATCCATCCTTTTATTAATTTAATATACAGCTCTGGCCAAAGCTGTGAGAATGACACACATATTAATTTACCTGCAAGGAAACACGTGCAGTCATCATTGCTTTGCATAAAAAAGGATTCACAGGCAAGGATATTGCTGTTAGTAAGATTGCCCCTAAATCAACCATTTATTGGATCTTCATGAACTTCAAGGAGAGAGTTTCAATTGTGAAGAAGCCTTCAGGGCACCCAAGAAAGTCCTACAAGCGCCAGGACCGTCTCCTAAAGTTAATTCAGCTGCTGGATCGGGAAAACATCAGTGCAGAGCTTGCCCAGGAATGGCAGCAGGCAGGTGTGAGTGTATCTGCACACATAGTGAGGAAGATGACCTCATGTCAAGAAGGGCAGAAAAGAAGCCACTTCTCTCCTGGAAAATCATCAGGGACAGACCATATTCTGCAAAAGGTACAGGGATTGGACTGCTGAGGATTGGGGTAAAGTCATGATGAATCCCCTTTCCGATTGTTTGGGGCATCCAGAAAAAAAGCTTGTCCGGAAAAGAAAAGGTGAACGCTACCATCAGTCCTGTGCCATACCAACAGTAAAGCATCCTGAGACCATTCATGTGTGGGGTTGCTTCTCAGCCAAGGGAGTGGGCTCACTCATAATTTTGCCTAAGAACACATCCATGAATAAAGAATGGTACAAAAACACCCGAGATCAACTTCTCTCAACCATCCAAGAACAGTTTGGTGAACAATGCCTTTTCTTGCATGATGGAGCACATTGCCATGGGGCAAAAATAACTAGGGAACAACACATCGAAATGTTTGGTCCACGGCCAGGAAAATCCCCAGACCTTAATCCCATTGAGAACCTGTGATCAAGCCTCAAGAGGGGGGGGAACAAAAACCCCCCCACAAATTCTGACAAAATCTAAGCATTGATTATGCAAGAATGGGCTGCCCTCAATCAGGATGTGGCCCAAAAGTTGATTGACAGCATGTCAGGCGAATTGCAGAGGCCTTAAAAAAGAAGGGTCAACACTGCAAATATTTACTCTTTGCATAAACGTAATGTAATTGTCAATAAAAGCCTTTGACATTTATGAAATGCTTGTAATTATACTTCAGTATACCATAGTAATATCTGACAAAAAGATCTAAAAACACTGAAGCAGCAGACTTTGTAAAAATGAATGTTTGTGCCATTCTCAAACTTTTGGCCGGAGCTGTACAAGGGAAAATTTTAGTACTTGTAGTAATTCTTCTTCAGGAGTGTGGAGTTTTTATATAATAACTACTTGTGCAGGAGACTAAATCGAGGTCCCAATCTACTTGTCCTGATAAATAAAAAACTCTGCCACATTGGAAAACATGAAGGGTTAATGTTTTGGGGTTTTTTTAGCAGTTGTGCTTTTAGGAAAGTCTGAGGCTTTTAAAAATGAAAGGTGCTCTATGGTGACTTAAACTTTTTTTAATGTTTTTTCTTATTTGCTAGAAAGTTTCTTTGGATGCCCAAACAGTTTAAAATGTTTAAAGCAGGGGTCCAAGAGAATAAATTGGTGGGTGTTGTATTTTTTTTTGTCACACGGTATTTGCACAGCGATTTTTGAAAGGCATTTTTTTTTTTTTTTTACCCAAAAAAACCCCACAATACATAACCCGATTTTTATATTGCTTATTTTTAAATATAAAAGATGATACACCAAGTATATAGAAACCAAACATGTTGCGCTTTAAAATTGCGCAAGCCTGTACAACAGCAACAAATGACGTTAATTTTACTATCCGTAGGTGATACTTTAAAAACCTTTACAGGTTACTACTTTAGATTCACACAGGAGGTGTGGTGCTAGAAATACTGCCCATGACCTGGCATTCGTAGTCATACCTCACGTGTGGGACGATCCCCGTTTGCATGCGTGCATGCAGGACCGACACGTGCATTTGCCTTTGCACGGGAGCACAGGGGACAGGGGTGCTTTTAGTTTTTTTTGGGTTTTTTTTTTTTTTTTTTTTTTTTTTCACATGCTTTAAATTTGTTTTCCTCTATCAGTTTTATTGCTGTCACAAGAAATGTAAACATCCCTCGTGACAGCAATGAGCATGTGACAGGTACTCTTTTTGGAGAGTTCTGGGGTCAATAAGACCCCAAATCCCTCCTCTACCCTTAAAAGCATTCTCAACGCCAAGATCGGTGTGATTGAATGATTTTCATTTTTAAAAGCGCGCTGTTTACATCCTGGGAAACCAGAAGTGATGTATGCTCATCGCTTCCTATTTCTTGCATCTTAGAGGCCGACATAGTGGTTTTGGTCTTTGTCCGCATCTATGATTAACACTGATGACCTAAAGTTGCGGCGCAAAATAAATTGTGTGGTCTGTATAGTGCGTACGTTTATCCACGTATAAATTCTTATAATCCACAATACAAGGGGAGGTGTGATTTACACTTTTACTCACATTTAAAATACTGAGTAATGCAGAAGAGAGGAAGTTGAAAATAAATAAATCCAAACGGTTTAAAATATATTATTTGTTTAAAAAATGTAACTTCTGTAGTGCCAGAAAACTGTAAAATAAATTATAGGGGCTTTCTCTGCAGCACCATCGAGTCTGTTACCATTTGGCAACCTTACCCAGTAATAGCAAGATACAAGCAGATGTGTCACTTATTAGTGACGTGTTGCTATTTGCAGTTGATATTTTGTAAGGCTGGTCATACATGGACCGTTTTTTGTTTGTCTTGGGTTTTTTTTTTTTTTTTTCTTAGCCATAAAGGTTGAATGAAGGAAAAAATAGAAATTCCTCCATCCACACACTCGAGGTGGATAGAGGCATTCTTCCCACTGAGACATTGTATTCTGACAGGGGACACTCTTTGACAGCTAGTGGGGGATCGTCTCCTCCTGCTAGCTGTCAAAATTTAAAAAAAAAAAAAAACATTGCCGTGCAGGGCTTCGCCCACCCGGCCATATCACTTATTCACAGTCCTTTGTGAATGAGAAAACGACAAATCCCTACAGCCTTAGCAGCTGTCGGCTTGTAGTTCTCAGTGAATGGCGGCATGGTAGTTCATTAATTCTTATTGTCAGTATATCTGCTTGCCTGTACATCCCATACGGGCAAGTAGATATACTGACTGGTCTGCAGAGACCTGCATGGCACCAGGTATCTGCTGATTGCTAGTGCAATACTTTACAGGCTCCTGCAACAAAAAAAATAATAAATGCACTTTTTTTTTTTTTTTTTTTTTTTACCTGCAAAAAAAAGTGCATTTATTATGTTTTTGTCAAAAGGTGAACTTATCCTTTAAAGCACAAAATCCTTCATATCACAGTGATGTTTCGAGTCAGTCAGGCTCTTTTTCACATCTGGATTATACGCACACAAAATCAAAATTAACTTGAAATTACAACAGATGGCAATTAGCTATTTATTGTTGCCATAACTTTTCAGCATCCAATCCTAAATTTCTCCCCTTTGGTGTTTTTAAGGTTACGTTTGGAACGCACTGGAGGTCATGTTACTGCTCTGGTGGAGCACACGAATGGCAACATTGTGCTCTCTGCCTCTACTACAGAATGGGCTGTGAAGAAATATCTCCATAGCAAAACAGACGTAATGGCTTGTGAAAATGTAGGCAGAGTTTTGGCTCAGCGTTGTCTGGAAGCAGGAATATGTTATATGCTCTTTCGGGATATTCCTTGGGTCTTTCGATCTGAATCGGTAAGATAAATGCTCACGTAATCCTCTAAGTAGGAGTAAAGTATTTGTAAAGTTGGCTTCATAAATGGATAGCTTCATTTGTATAAAATACTTGACTTCCAGCATGCTTAGTTTTGTCTGTGCTCGGTGCTACCTGTTTATATTACTTTTAGACACTTGTTACCTCTTATCAGTTTGCCCAAATGTTACTTTAGAATTGCTTGGAAAAAAATCTAGCATCATCACCTAAGGCCAGTACAGTTTTCTTGCCTTTTCTCGTTTGATATTGCATTGTATTGTGCTTTATAGGTCTAAAGTTAAAATAATGATTTGACTGCCATGTCTGCCTCAATTCTAGTTAATGACCGAGCAATCAGAAGGTGAACACAAGCTGAGCAGTGCTTGTTTTTTAATTTTAAAGGTGACTTGTGTGTAAATTATTAAAAACTCTCCTTGATTTGCTTCTTTGACAAAAGATTAAAAAAAAACAAAAAAAAAAAAAATTTTTCTTTTTCTCCTTGTCCAACTTCTAGCTGCTTCTTTATTTTCAGCACGAAAGATGTGTTTAGGACACAGGCATAAAAAAAAAAACAGATTTTCTTTTTGTGTTCTGATTTCAGAGTACTTCCAACTTGGCCGCCGCCAATGGCGTGTAGCTGGTGTAAATATGGGCAGCCGGGTCAATAAAAGACAAAACATACAGAACATAGACAAAATAATCAGCAACGGGAATAGTATGGTTTGCAACACAGCTACACGTATACACAGAGCTGTAGGAAGCACAGTAAACATATCCCAGGTGTTTAGGACACAGGCATAAGCTCAGAAATCATGCTGGAGTACCTCTGGGAAAAGGTAGGACCTTGACACTCTAAAGAGATAAAGGTGTTGAGTTACTGAAACACAACCTTGTGAAAGGGCCCTAAAAGTTTCTACTATAAGTTACTTAAGGCTAACGCCTCCTTTTAGCTGCATGTTATACCCATGTTTAGGGTCGAACAGGTTTCTAAGCAGCACCCCTCCACTAAAGCATCTCTTCACCTGTGACAGTGTGAAGGGGGTGGTTTTCTCATGCAGACAGCTGTCAATTTTGAAATCCGTGTCGTTGTGCATCTGTGAATGAATGAACGATGTGTCCCATCTGTCATTGCAGCAGACGGATTTGTAGTTCTCAGTGGCATAAGAGTGCAGTGATGCAGGCTCCTTGAGAAGAAATAATTCATGCATATTTGTTTTCCTGCAGTATAATGTGCATAATATAATTTTTAATTTTTTTTTTTTTCTTAGATGTAAACTTGTCCTTTAAAACTAGATTTCCATGACCACACTTTCCTGTAAATATACTAGTAAATGTCATAAATCAATGGGGTATCGCGGACCTTAATTTTGCATGCAGCTTTGGAGCTAGCAAGGAGTAACGGGAAGCTCTTTGAACACAGAGGAGTGTACATAGTCATTCAGTTTGGCATTTGGCTTTTTTTAACACTTGCCAAGCACAGCATTACAGAGCATTGGGGACTTGCTCCAATATACAGTTTAAAATGTAGGTGTATATGTTTATTAAATGAGAAGTATGGGTTTAAAAAAATTATAAATGTACATACCCGCCTAAACGGATACTCCGATGCTGCACCTGTTCCCTGCTACCTCTAAGATTGAGAACTGAGTGACCAAACACCACTGATCACTTAGTTCTCGGTCTTCACTGTCAGTCACTGGCTGTCTGCTCTGCACCTCCAGTCCTCGCTGGAGCACTGGGTTGTGAAGGGGGTGAGAGCAGCTGGCTCAGACATTGTCTTGCTGAGTGGTCAAACCAGCTGCTGGTCAAGGCATCTGGGTGGATCCCAACTTTACAGTAAAGCTGGGATCTTTCCAGAGCCTGGACCAGCTAAGTGATGTCAGCCGACAGCGGACTTTAGTCTGCTGAACTAAGTGCACTTCTGTGATCCATAGGAGAAGTATAGCCAAAATACCTTTTTGTAACTCAACACTGTTTTTTATATTTCACACTTTGTAGGAATGTGGATGATTACGATGTTTGTATTTGTGCTAAGAACTTGAGCATATATAGTGTGTGTGTGTGATAGATAGAGATATATATATATATATATATATATATATATATATATATATATATATATATATATGAAGGAGATCTGTGTGTGTGTGTTAACATTTGCATAGTTACTATAGATAATCTCTTGGTTAAAGTGTTTTCTCTAGAATTTTCTTTCACAGTTGAGGGTACGAATAGCTGGGGGAGCAGTGGGATATCCTTGATGAAATGTTAGTAACGTTGATGTGCCAGGAGTCTGGTGTGCTCCTACCTTCCTCCTTGGCTCTTCCAAAGCATGTTATGGTAGCCCTGCCTACTTGATTCTGATGCATTACAAAGAACATAGACCTCTCCTCATGTACAGGCAGAGAGTATAGGAAGTTATCCTGGCAAAATCAACAGGTATTTTTTTGCACTTTTGAATCGATGCTGTATACCAAAAAGCCTTCCATGAAATATTTAGCAGATCAAAAGGAGTACAATATGAGAAGAAGATCATTATTAGGGATTGCATACATTTGAAGTCTCAAACCTAGGAAAGCTTCATCAGAGATCTGTGCACATCAATCTACTAATCTCCGCTGCTCTCTAGTTACGGGTCTCGCTGCCATGGTCCCAGGTTACAGGGTGTACTGCTTTTATTCATGATACAAAATGTTTATATGAGGCCTAATGCCCTTTCTGTGTAGTATATTTGTTTTTTTTTTTTTTTGGCTGCTGAACATTGAATGCTATAATTGTTTGGTGGTTTTTTTTTTCTCCTTTGAAAACATAACAATTGATTTAAATGAAGAACAATTTGTGATTGTGCTCTTTGTCTGCAGCTTTTTATATTTCCTGAGAAAATGGAAACACTTGAAATGAATGATAAGCATAGATCGTTATTGCAAAGGTTTATTAAACTGCACGGGCTAAGCTACAATAGTGTGTATGCATTTTATATGTAATAATAAGCCTCATTAATCTTATGGTTGCTCACATGTAAACTCCTGTGGTTGTCACTCAGTTCAATGGATGAAAAAACAAGCGGCGCATATTGCCATGTCAATATAGACACAGGAGTGCCCTTATTGTTTTATTATGTTACTGTACACTTGTATGTCCCTGTATTTGCTCTGTTTGAGCTTAAAAGCATCCTTATTTATCTTGGACGTAAAAAGTAGCAGTTCATAAATGTATTCATCAGTCTGTCTGGCTTAGTTTGCACTGATGATGAAGCATATCTAAACAGTGAAAGCTCATCAGTGCATTTGGCACTCACATTGCCTATGGCTGTTCCCAGCTGATTAGGAAATTGTGGGAGGGTGGTGCGGGATCAACAGTTGAATCTGAATTTTCTTAACCACTTGCCCTCCTGAGGATTTACCCCCTTAATGACCAGGCCTCTTTTTTGCTACTCGGCGCTGCACTAATTCAACTGATAATTGCACGGTCATGCAATGCTGCACCCAAACGAAATTTACGTCCTTTTTTTCAGACAAATAGAGCTTTCTTTCGGTGGTATTTGATCACCTGTGCGCTTTTTATTTTTCACGCTATAAACAAAAAAAGGCCAAAAAATTTTGAAGAAAAACGATATTTTTTACTTTCAGCTATAAAAAATATATAGTAAACTCAAAGTTGGTTATAAATTTAGGCCAAAATGTATTCTGCTACATGTTTTTTGGTAAAAAAAAAAATCCTAATAAGTGTATATTGATTGCTTTGTGTGAAAGTTATAACGTCTACAAACTATGGTATAGATACTGCAATTTACGCCATTTTTTTTGCTATAAAGCGCTGCGCTAGTTTAACGGACAATTACGCGGTCATGCAAAATAGTACATAAATGAAATTTGCATCCTTTTTTTTTTTTTTTTTTTTTTTTTCCCACAAATTGAGCTTTCTTTTGGTGGTATTTGATCGCCTGTGCGGTTTTTATTTTTTGCGCTATAAAAAAAAAGGCTGACCATTTTGAGGAATAAAAACTATATTTTGGACCTTTTGCTATAAAACATGTCCAGTAAAAAAAAATTTTAAAATCAAATTTAGTCATAAATTTCTGCCAAAATGCATTCTGCGACATGTCTTTGCTAAAAAAAAAAACAATACGTGTAAATTAATTGGTTTACATGAAAGTTATAGCGTTTACAAATGGCGGGAAAGATACTGGGATTTTTAGTTTTTTGGGTTTTTTTATACTAATAATGCCTCTGTAAGCCTGAATGATCAAAAGCAATGTCAAACTGGCAAAAACACTCATTTCAGTGGGGGTTTGAATAATTTTGGAACAACTTCCCCCACAAGTTTAACGGGACAAATTGCGCTGGTCATGGAATAATGAAATTTGCATCCTTTTTTTTTTTTTTTTTTTTTTTTTTTCCCCCACAAATTTGGAGCGATCAGTGACTTATGGCGGGACTGCGGCGGACATTCTGACATTGGAGGGTACTGACTTGGGGTCACTGACATCCCCAGTGCCATCAGTACAGTGTCAGTGTTTTTTTTTTTTTTTTTTTTTTTTTTTTTTTTTTTTTGCACTGATCACTGTATTGGTGTCAGGGATGAGGAAGGGGTTACGTTTATTATTCAGGGAAAGGGTTAACTATGTGAGGGGAGTGTTTTACTAGGGGGGCGGGGGTGTGTACTGCAGGGAACACCGCTGATCGGGAGAGAGAAACTCTTCTGTCCCTATCAGCGTGTCCTGGAGCTGTCGGGGAACTGACAGAAAGCACAGCTACTGCAGCTGTGCTCTCTGTCAGCGATTGCCGCCGATCACCGGGACATAGCCGGTAACGACCGGCTGTGACCCGGCGACTGACATCCACGGCTGTGATCGGCGGGACAGGTAGGGCGGCGGCGCGCCTCGCGCGCGCCCCCTACCTGTTTTCAAAACACACGTTTTAAAACGTGCTTTTGCCCAGCCCTGCCTCCGTATTTCTACAGTGGCTGGGTGGCATGTGGTTAAAGACCAACAGAAACCCAGAATAAGCTT